GTCTTTCAACCAATTCTGTGATTCTTTGAGGCAGGCCATGGAGAGACCCTATATTGCTGTTACAGATTATTGATGCTGTAGCCCATTGCTAGACTTGAGAAATAGACCAGGAGTAACACCCTGGCCTCATTGTGTTGTTGAGAAGATGCTTTGATCCTTTTCACAGCACTAACTCATGTCTATCTAGTGTATATCACGCTGGTTACCTGCTCTGTTATACTACCCCTTGTGTAGTATAAATACTCCCTGGCTAGTCCCTTTAAGTATTCCTTTCTATCATTATGGAGTCAGAAAGAGGAAGCTGGCTCAAGTCTCCACCAGTTGTCTCTTCTTTTCATTGATCCTGATACTCCATATAAAACTACTTTGCAATGATAGCTCTTATGTTCAGCTTTCCTCTTAAGCCCTAGGAATTATTAGAGAACTGTTTCTGCTGTCCCTCCCCCTACCACCTTTTAAATGTAAACATTTTGATTAATGTCATTTAAATGATTTCTTTGGCTTTTATGTTAACTTTCTAATAGAAAATAAGTACTAACTTTCATTTATTTAGCACATAGTAAATGCTAAACTATTTATTATTTTTAATCTTCTCAATAACACAACTAGATAGGTAAAGTTTATCCTTATTTTACAAATGAAGAAAATGAGAATCAAAGATCAGAAGTTACTTGCCTCAAATGTATCACAAGTATATTGCTGAGCCAGCATTGGAACTCAAGTCTTATCCTCTTCTAAAGCCCTACTCCTTCTTCTGTTTCATATTACATCATACCCCTGGGAAGATATATGATTTTATAGTTATTAGAAAAGGAGGAAAAACATGTAATTTTATAAACAGTTTTACAGGTGACTTAAGAAGTATGCCTTGTGAGGTGAGGAATTACTGGCATATTCCTTTTCATCCTAGGTCAGATGTTATCAACATTCTTTTGTTGTTGTTGTTGTTGTTTTGTTTGGCCGTGCCACACATCTTGCAGGATCTTAGTTCCCCTACCAGGAATCAAACCCAGGCCCCAGCAGTGAAAGTACAGAGTCCTAACCACTGGAGCACCAGGGAATTCCCTCAACATTCTTAAGTAAAGATTTGCACTGTTGTGATGATTATCTTTGTACCCCACTCTAACTTAGAATATTCTTTTCATCCTAGATCAGATGTTATTAACATTCTTACGTAAGATTTGCACTGTTGTGATGACTAGGCCACAGGGTGCCCAGACATTTGGTCAAACATTTTTCTGGGTGTGTCTGTGAGGCTGTTTCTGGATGAGATTAACATTTGAGTAGATAGACTGAGTAAATTATTGCCCACTCTAATGTGGGTGGGTCTTATCCAATCAATTGAAGACCTGAAGAGAACAAAAAGGCTGAGTAAGAAGAAACTTCACCTACCTGACTGCTGGAGCTGGAACATTATCATTTCCTGCCTTTGGACTTGAACTGAAAAATCATCTCTTCCTAGGTCTCCAGCCTGCCAGCTTTCAGACTAGAACTTATACCATCAGCTGTCCTGGTTCTCAGGCCTTTGGATTCAGACTGAAACTACATCGTTGGTTGTTCTGAGTCTTTGACTTGCCAGCCACGTATCTTGGGACCTCCATAATTTTGTGAGCCAATTATTTATATGTATATACATATATAATATATTTATATATGCACACATATACATACATACACACACACCACACACACATCACACATATACCAGTAGTTATATATATAACAAATAGGCTTATAGCCAAATATATAGCATACTGGTTCATTGGTTCTGTTTCTCTAAAGAACTCTAATACAACTGTTTTCTGCCTTACTTTTCTTCACAAATGCTCCCAAGCCTCTCATTACCTTTTTTCCCTCCATGACACCCACTCTCATTCTTAATATGTCTGTTTACTTACAGTTACTCAGAACACTGCTCACAAAATTACTGCAGGTAACTTATTTTTCCAATACTACTGTGAATTACATCCTATTAATGGCCCCTGCGTGTGCATGCACACACTCTTATACAGGCACATTATTCTTCATATAGTACATCAGCTAGTCAGTAACTTTCTGTGATAATGAAAATATTCTATGTTTGTGGTATACAATATAATAGCCATTAGCCACATGTATTAGCATTCTCCAGAGAAACAGAGCCAATTGGAAGGAGAGATAGATAGATAGATAGATAGATAGATAGATAGATAGATAGATAGGGAGATTGATTTACTGTGTGGAGTTGGCTTATGTTATTATGGAAGCTAAGCAGTCCTAAGATCCGCAGTCGGAAAACTGGTCCAGGAAAGCCAATAATAAAGTTGCAATCCAAATTTTAGTCTAAAGGCAGAAGTCTGATATTCCATCTCAAAGACAGTGGCAGAGAGAAAGAATTCTATCTTACTGGGCCTTTTGTTCTATTCAGGCCTTCAGTGGATTCAATGAGTCCCACTCACATTAAGGAAAACAATCTGCTTTCCTCAGTCTACTGATTCAAATGTTAAGCTCATCCAAAAAAACCATCACAGACACACCTAGAAATAATGTTTAGCCAAGTGTCTGGGTACCCTGTGGCCCAGCAAGTTGACACATAAAAGTAACCATCATATTACATATGGCTACTGACCGCTTAAAATATGGCTAGACCAACCAAGGAACTAAATTTCTAATTTTTATTTAATTTTAAGTAATTTAAATGTAAATAGGTATACATGGCTCACAGTTACTATTTTGTTTTTTTGTTTTGTTTTGTTTTGTTTTTTTATATATGTTCCCATATCTCTTCCCGCTTGCGTCTCCCTCCCTCCCACCCTCCCTATCCTACCCCTCCAGGCTGTCACAAAGCACCGAGCCAATATCCCTGTGCTATGCGGCTGCTTCCCACTAGCTATCTACCTTACGTTTGGTAGTGTATATATGTCCATGCCTCTCTCTCGCTTTGTCACCATTTACCCTTCCCCCTCCCCATAGCCTCAAGTCCATTCTCTAGTAAGTCTGTGTCTTTATTCCTGTTTCACCCCTAGGTTTTTCATGACATTTTTTTCCTTAAATTCCATATATATGTGTTAGCATACGGTATTTTTCTCTCTCTTTCTGACTTACTTCACTCTGTATGACAGACTCTAGGTCTATCCACCTCATTACAAATAGCTCAATTTCGTTTCTTTTTATGGCTGAGTAATATTCCATTGTATATATGTGCCACATCTTCTTTATCCATTCATCCGATGATGGACACTTAGGTTGTTTCCATCTCTGGGCTATTGTAAAAAGAGCTGCAATGAACATTTTGGTACATGACTCTTTTTGAATTATGGTTTTCTCAGGGTATATGCCCAGTAGTGGGATTGCTGGGTCATATGGTAGTTCTATTTGTAGTTTTTTAAGGAACCTCCATACTGTTCTCCACAGTGGCTGTATCAATTTACATTCCCACCAACAGTGTAAGAGGGTTCCCTTTTCTCCACACCCTCTCCAGCATTTATTGTTTCTAGATTTTTTGATGATGGCCATTCTGACTGATGTGAGATGATATCTCATTCGCAGTTACTATTTTGGACAACACAGTGGTAGATTGTCTCAGTCCTAGAATGAAGCTTTGACTGATGCTGCAGGACCATTCTGACTACTTCTCCAGTATCTGGCTTCCACCTGGGCTTGAAACACCTCCTCTGGGAGAACACAGCCACCATGTAAAAAGTCCAACTACCCTGAGACTGCCATGCTATGAGGAAGTATTAAGCTAGTCACATGGAGAGAGTATATCAAGAGAGGGAGAGAAAGCCCTATCTGTTCTAGCCATCCATCCCATTTGAAGGAAATGTGAATGAAGAAACTGTATTGGACCTCTAACCCAATCAGGCCTTCAGGTGACTTCAGCCAGAGCTGCCACCTGACTCAATGAAAACTCACAAGCAAGAAGTTCCATCTAAACCTGCAGAACCATGAGAGATAATAAATTGTTGTCTTAAGCCACTCAGTTTTGGGGTGATTTGCAAGGCAATAAATAACCAGAACAGAAGTATGCTAAGGAATCAAGGCTTCCTATTTTTCTGGCTCCCCTAGATCCCAATCTTCTTTTCTTTCTGTTTTCTACTTTCTTGCTTTTTGTGGTATAAACTTTTATGCTTAGAACTAAATTAGCAGTTTGGGAAAGTCACAGTTATCTGGCCTTCAAGTATCTTGGCTTTTTGACCTCATATTTAAAAGGCTTTCCTGCTTTCAGATAGGCCAAGTTGGACCAATGTTTGCCTTTTACTTCCTTAGTAAAGGCCATAACCAGTTAATACAATCTAATACCCTGATCTTTTTCAATCAGTTGTCTTTTTTTTTTTTTTTTTTTTTGCGGTATGCGGGCTTCTCACTGTTGTGGCCTCTCCCGTTGCAGAGCACAGGCTCCGGACGCGCAGGCTCAGCGGCCATGGCTCACGGCCCTAGCCGCTCCACGGCATGTGGGATCTTCCCAGACCGGGACACGAGCCCGCGTCCCCTGCATCTGCAGGCAGACTGTCAACCACTGCGCCACCAGGGAAGCCCCAATCAATTGTCTTTTAAAAGTCTAATCCCAGAAGACATATACCTATGCTTCAATATTAACATTTTAATCTCTACTTTGCTACCAGAAGAAAATGGATGGGAGGGAGAGGGATGTGTTGGGTAAATATTCAAATGATACCTGCTATATAAGCAATACCTCTTACATATAACAGACTAGTCATATACTCAGATCCTATATAAGTTATTTATACAACTTATAAATTGTGCTATTTAACACAGTTATATAGCCTTGAACTTTATCCCTTAATAATGTACTTTTTATTCCAGTGAGCTCAATATTTATAAAAATTTAAAAGGAATTTATTGCTAAATGTCAGGAAAACAAGTGTTTAGGACACGATTTACTATTATGATTGTTCTTAGTGAGCATTTTTTTGTGATTGACACTAAGAGGGCAAATTTTGGATCTGAAAATTTCATTAGGACTCTGTTACATCAGTGATTTGTTTTTTTCATTCCAGTTCTAAGAACAGATGGAAGTGGCTATGGATAATTCATATGATTTCAATCAACAAGGCTCATGTAATGGAATTCCATCTGAGAAGAAAAACAACTTCCTCGTGTCAGAAGATCATGGACAGAAAATCTTAAGTATACTACAGAATTTTCGAGAACAAAATGTCTTTTATGATTTCAAAATAATCGTGAAAGATGAAATAATCCCATGTCATCGTTGTGTGTTAGCAGCATGCAGTGACTTTTTCAGGTACTTTACCTTGTCTGTTTATCCCTCAGATTTTATGATACCACTAATTAAGTTATTTTTTACGGCTGTACTCAATTTCCCCCCACAGAACATGAAACAGTAATCTTTAATACTTAAAAAAAATAATTAGAACCTAGATTAACTAATGATTTTTGAATATGAAAATATAAGAGTACCTTTTTTAAAGTTCAAGTCTTCCCAGGCTAGGATTGGGAAGTTCTGTGGAACATTAGTCCCTTGAATTGTTCTGGAAAAATATTGTTTTGATCTGGGGTCAGTTTTGTTTGGGGGATCCCTGCACTGTATAATTTGGGAAAAGAGGAAAGGACAGATTGAGCAAAAATGGAAGCCAAGTTCAAAGAAAATGAGGAGTCTGAGAAGAAAATACATTTCAGTCATGTATTATATCCCATGGATTGTCCAGGAGAGAGGGACTCTAATGCAGAGAATTTCTCTTCACTTTAGCCAAGATAGTCCTACAGTAGGGAAAAGTACTTCCAGAACCATTTCTGGAGAGCACCCAACTTTTTCTGATTCTAATTCTGAATATAATTTGGTTCCCCATGTAGATCGTCCTACAAGGAATATCCTAGTCATGACACTGTAAGAATCCACTGTGATGACAGTGGGTTTCTGATTCTTAACAGTGATTAAGGGTCATGACCTTAGTACTGTGGTAACTGTATCAAGGTAATACCTGTGAGGCCTATTCATCAGACAGACAAACCTCTCTTGCTGACATCTTGACCTTCAGCCCTCCTAGTCATACTGCAATAAACTCAAATCCTAATTGCAGTATTTTGCATTATGTTCAGTTTTAGAAACAATTTTTATTCTAAGTAAGCAGGGGTTAAATCTCTTAACAAAACACCTGTTTCTGTAGGGTTTCCTGCTTTGAATTTGGGAGCAGTGGCTCAGTGCTGCATCACAGTTTACTGGGGACAAGGGGGGCTACAACTTTTACTAGCCTGTTGCCTAACTAGACTATATGTCTTCATGTATTCTTTTCATTTCTTCTCTCATGTATCCTAAGTTATTCTTCTTCAGACTCTACTGGGGCCCTAACTGTTCTTATGTTCTCCCACTCTGAGGTTCCGCTAGTTTCTTCCCACCTCTCTTCTAATCCACTTTTTCTTCCAAGTAACTTTCTTGCTCCCTTATCTTTCATATCACCTCTTCATCAGAGGAAGCTGTACAGTATAATGGTTAAGTACTTGGCCTCTTAATGCACATGCCCTAAATCTAAATCCCAGCTCCACCACTTACTAGGCTTGTGACCTTAGGTAAGTTACACAACCTCTTCAGGCTTCAGTTTCCTTATTTGTAAAAATTTAAGATAATAAAAATAGGACCTAACTCATAATGAGTGTTGAATGAAATATTGTGTATATATATATTTTTTGCGGTATGCGGGCTTCTCATTGTTGTGACCTCTCCCGCTGCGGAGCACAGGCTCCGGATGCGCAGGCCCAGTGGCCACGGCCCGCGGGCCTAACCGCTCCGCGGCATGTGGGATCCTCCCGGAGTGGGGCACGAACCCGTGTCCCCTGCATCGGCAGGCGGACTCTCAACCACTGCGCCACCAGGGAAGCCCAAAATAATGTATATTAATGATTATGTCAGTGCGCACTACATTCAATTAATGTTAGCTGCAATTATTATTATTTCCAAACCTAGCCAAAAAATGGAAATAATTTGGTATGAACACACAGTGTTATTTCTCCATAATGTTTTCATGTTAACAAAGTAAGAAATTCGTATAAGCATTTGAACTGGCAGTCCTCTACTCTTTATGTTGAAGTTATTTATTAATTAAATGTATTTGCACATATATTTGTCCATAGTACTTTGTTCAGCCTAGCTTTTTAGGGATCTACTTTCAATTTTTAAAAATGATTGTTAAAACAACATGTTTTTCAAAATTCGCATCTGTTTTGAAGTAAAACAAATGACAGTTTTATAATGACCTAGATCCTTTATTATATATAGTATTTTACTAAATGAGTATATAGTTCACATAAAAATATGTACAAATGTAGATAGAAAGTCTACATTATTTACACTCTTGTACGATAAGGCCACTAATTCATAATTTTGTGTTATGATCAAACTCACTGGAGTATTGGGATATAAACTCACAGAAATATTGGGGTATATAAAATTAAAATAGAAAATTACATAGTGCATGGTAAATGCCCTTTAAAATATTTTTGGAAAATTAAAATTATGATTGAGTGTAAAGTCACTGGAGACAAGATTCAAAAGGAATCACACGTATTGTGTAAACACTTTATGATAACATGGTAAATTTGAGATAGAAGTTAACTGGATACTTTAAAGATGAGTAGGATGAAATATAGAAATATATTACTTGTGTTTTCTCAAAGAAAATGTGGAAGTTGGTGGTAAATTAGAAATACATACAATTTTAGAAAACTTTTTTTCTTAAAATGATATTAATAATAGTTTGCATCAATTAACTTAGTTATTTCTCTCACAGCTCAGTGAAATAGGTACTACTAGTATCCCCATTTTCAGATGAAGAATTTGAAGCACAATCAAGTTGTTAACCTCCCCAAGGTCACACAGTTAATAAGTGGTATAGGCTAGATACCCACCCAGGCAGTCCTGTTCTAGAGGCCATGCTCTTATTATTACCCTAAACTGACTATAGATATCTTAATAATCTAATTATAACCACAGGTTAATGTTTCTAAGTTGATATACATTATTGAAATATCCTGCATAATGTGTAACATGTATAAATTTTTGTAACTCTATTTATTCGTTATTGTGTTAAAAAGTATTGAATACTCCTAGTAGAAAGGGGCGTTAGCATCCTTTTCCTAAGGAGTATTCTGTATTTGGAAGGCTCCTCATATTTTTCAGTTGGACACTTGTGCTGTAGTAACTTTAGCTACTCTCTATAGTAGACTTTAATAATGAAGTTTGGTTTTCCCCCAGAGTACTTGGGCGCCTGAGCACTACTCACAAAGGTGTCCTGGACAGTACTGGAACAAATACAAACCAGTATTAAACCAGGACCAAAATCAGATGATCTTTAGTCTTAATGAATGTTCAACTGGCAGTCTTTAGTTCTTTGTTGTAGCTCTTTCCTCTTTATCTTTATTTGCAGTTCTACTGAAAACCATCATAATGGGTTTGTTTAAAGTGTAAAAATGAATAACTCTGGATATGAAATTAATATAAGGATGGACAGCAATATTGATCTTACCAAAGCCAAATGTAAAATATATCTTAGTCTCCTGCCTAAATATTTCCGAATAATTTATATTTTTGCTTAAACTGAGCCAAAAAATTTCCTATTTCCTTAGAGTCTATCAGCTTTACCAGATGGGGATAAATTAGAACTTATTATGAAGAACTTTCAAGCTGGTCTAATTATTCAGATCTGGAGACCCGTCTCCATCTCTCAGTGGCTATTTCTACAAAAAACTTATTTTTAGCCTTTTTAGTTTGGTGTGGTACACTGTTGTTTAGTTTCATAAAATCATATTCCCTTTTTCCTAAAGTGCTGTATGAAATGTGTTTTTAGACATGTATTCAAGTTTATCTTATTTGGTGGATTTCCCCACACAGACAGAGTCATTGGAAACATCTGATATCTCACTGTATTCCATCTTTTACATATTTCACTGCTGCCAAATTGAAAATTATTTTGAAAAAGACTTTTAAATTCTAAACCCAGAAGCTTTTATATATTTTAAGTAATTTTAGTTATCACCTGCAGAGTTGATACTAAATTAACCCATAAGTAAATAAATTCAGCCATTAGAGAGATTTTACCCTAATTTTATGAATAATATATAAGAACATCGAATCAGATGCAAAATTTGAATCTTTTTGTAGCCTTTGGATCCATTGCTGTGGGTCAGCTATAATGTGTATATTTTGCAATATGGGAGTTATGTAATACGTATATTTTACAGATAAATCATATGGTCTCTAACTATTATAGATATTAAATTAATTTATTAGGATGCTTTAAAAATATATTTTGTAAATGTATTTTACATCAACCTAAGAGTAAAGGAAACCTCTTTAAGGTAATATTGAAAATTATCGTGGAATAAAATATTCCTGTTTATTTGTTCTCCTGTGTTCTTCATTTTTGCAGGGCTATGTTTGAAGTAAACATGAAAGAAAGAGATGGTGGAAGTGTTACCATTACTAATTTGTCCTCCAAAGCAGTAAAAGCATTTCTTGATTATGCCTATACTGGAAAAACAAAGATAACAGATGATAATGTGGAAATGTTCTTCCAGTTGTCATCATTTCTTCAAGTTTCCTTCTTGTCCAAAGCTTGCAGTGACTTTTTAATAAAAAGTATTAATCTTGTGAATTGTTTACAGTTATTATCTATATCAGATAGCTATGGTTCTGCCCGTTTGTTTGATCATGCTTTATACTTTGTACAACATCACTTTTCTTTATTATTTAAATCCAGTGATTTCTTAGAGATGAATTTTGGAGTACTGCAAAAATGTCTGGAATCAGATGAATTAAATGTTCCTGAAGAAGAAACTGTACTGAAAGTTGTCCTTAGTTGGACTAAACATAACTTAGAATCAAGGCAAAAGCATCTGCCTTATTTGATTAAAAAAGTAAGATTATATCAGTTATCTGAGGAGACACTTCAAGATTGTTTACTCAATGAAGAGTGTTTACTCAAAAGCACAAACTGTTTTGACATAATCATAGATGCAATTAAGTGTGTGCAAGGTTCTGGTGGACTTTTCCCTGATGCTCGACCATCCACAACTGAAAAATACATATTTGTTCACAAAACTGAGGAAAATGGAGAAGATCAATATACATTTTGCTATAATATTAAAAGTGATTCATGGAAGATACTGCCACAATCACACCTGATTGATTTGCCAGGATCTAGTCTGTCTAGTTATGGGGAGAAAATATTCTTGACAGGCGGTTGCAAAGGGCCGTGTTGTAGAACAGTTCGGCTTCATATTGCAGAGTCATATCATGATGCCACTGATCAAACCTGGTGCTACTGTCCGGTCAAAAATGATTTTTTCCTGGTATCAACTATGAAAACACCAAGAACCATGCATACATCAGTTATGGCTCTCAACAGATTATTTGTCATAGGTGGAAAGACTAGAGGATCCCAGGACATTAGAAGTCTCTTAGATGTTGAATCTTACAACCCTCTTTCCAAAGAATGGATATCTGTTAGCCCATTACCCAGGGGCATATACTATCCTGAAGCAAGTGCATGCCAAAATGTAATTTATGTTCTTGGATCAGAGGTAGAGATTACAGATGCTTTTAACCCATCACTTGATTGCTTTTTTAAATACAATGCTACAACTGATCAGTGGTCTGAACTAGTAGCAGAGTTTGGGCAGTTTTTTCATGCAACACTAATTAAAGCTGTCCCAGTAAACTGCACACTGTATATATGTGACCTTTCCACTTATAAGGTTTATAGTTTTTGTCCAGATACTTGTGTTTGGAAGGGTGAAGGGTCTTTTGAATGTGCAGGCTTCAACGCAGGTGCAGTTGGAATTGAAGATAAAATTTATATATTAGGTGGTGATTATGCACCAGATGAAATCACAGATGAAGTGCAGGTCTACCACAGCAGCAGGTCTGAGTGGGAAGAAGTTTCACCAATGCCAAGAGCCTTAACTGAATTTTACTGCCAGGTGATTCAGTTTAATAAATACAGGGACCCATGGTTTTCTAATCATTTCTAAAAGTAGTGTGTGATTAGGTATTCTAAAACTATTGCAGTTTTAGAAACCTGCAGTAAATTTATTAACCTTAATTATTGGTAAAACCGTCTTTACAGCTTAATAACATAAAATGCACCTTCTATGAGAGAATTACTATGAATGTATACCATATATGAATTAGCAGTTCCCAGAAACTTAAAATACAAAATAAATTTTACCAAAAATTATATTGTATTTAATTTAATCTTGGAGAGTCTAGAATATTACTATTTTCATATGTAAGTAAAATTCAGGCTTTGATGTTTTGATTTTTAAAGTACTTTATCCATGAAACACTAGTTAAAAACAAATCAAACTTCACAGAATTGTACAGTTAAGATGGGAGAAATCTCTCTAGGTAAAAATTATTTATTTACACTGTATTATATGAAGTGAAAAATAAATTAGAGTCGAGAATCCTATCTTGTTACTACAGGTATAAGAGTTGTCGAATTCCTATTTTTTCTGATCACTGGTTAGCTGCTTTTAAGCCCTTTCTTTTCTTTCACCATTTTTTAGTCAGAACATTTTCTGAAATGCAGTGTATTTCCCCAGGCTTCTAAACTGTACACTAAACATGGTTTAACTCTTTTCATGATTCGACTCTTCGTTAAGAGCATAATGTACTGTGCTGTATTGCCCTAATGCCATTGGCAGTTACTGAAATGTCTTAAAATTTGCTGATTCTATTAGTTTTCAGTGTTAGTTGGTTTCAGTTTTTAGCAGTATTATACCTTATTTTCTGGCTCAAGCTCAGTAAATTAACATTTTTGATTTAAATAATCAGTTCTAAGTTATACCTGACCTGAGTTTATCTTGACATGTAACCCATTTAGTGAAGTTCTTGGTTTCTGGGATTGTAGTCCTAAAATACTTTTTCTGTATCATTGCCAGTTTCCAATGTAAGTGAGGATGTAGAAAATCTGACCTCTAGATAAGTGGACCACTATTGTTGGCATTTCTTAAACTTTTACATGTACAAATTTGAGTTACAATAAGAAATTTCAGCGTTTAAATTAGTACCATATCAGTTTTCTGTGATGATATATACCAGCTGTAAAGTGCTGTGTATGTTTACTACTTCAGTAAATTATTCACAGTGAATTATTTTCTAAATTTAAAAATATGACTAGGCTTTTGGTATTGATAGTAGTATTTGAAACTTGCGTCTTGTTAGATGTTTCATCATCTTTAACCCAAACAATGAAAGAGTGTTACTCATCCTTGTTTTCAGCTAAGATGATTCTGCCTTGTAAGAGGATATGTTTCTTTATCAGTTTTACAGATATAGGTATTTTAGGTTTTAAGATACCTGACTTATATCTCAGGTAATGTGCAGGTTGTATTTCTGTGGAATCAAATGTAGATTCCCACACACTGTAGTAAATGTTAATCTGTTGTAAATGTACATATTCTTTAGAAGTGGAAATATACTTAAATGAAGGTCCTTTTATTTTACTATATAAATTTTTGCAATCATAAGTTTCAAATATATTTTTTAAAATAGAACAGAATATTAGACTGAATTATCGTGCAAGTCCAAAATCAGGGATTGTCTGTAATCAGATGACAGTTGCATAAAAAGTATTCTGTAGAATTGGTGGTTTCCTACCTTAGTTGGCTCTGCCCTTTCCTCTGTGTGTGTATTGTGTGTGTAAGAAAAAAAGAAAATTCAATGGAGGCTTTCTTTTACGTGTTACGTGGCATTCTGGAAACAAGTTATTTGAGAAAGACCATAACACAGTGGGGACTAAATTGTTAACTTAAGCATATATAAACAAATATTTCCAGAAAGGGAGAACTAAAGCAAAATAGAATCCATTCCTGATCTTGTTTCATTAATTTTATCTTGATTTCTACCATTCTTGTCATTGGCCATTGATTTCTGATGTTACTAGAAATATCCTTGTTATCAAGGCCTAGGTGACTCCCTCTGTATTTGATTTAATACACTTTCTAACGCACAAGGCTTTCTGCTTTAGTTTCTACAATTGCTGCAGGTTACTTGTTAATCACTTTCACTTATTGCCATCCCTTTACATCTGTACCTGAGTGCTCTTCATCAGTTATAACTGCAAGAAAAGTAGTCTGTCTAGTCATAAAACCCCAAACTCTTCCTTTACTTACTGTTCTTTTTCCTTGGCACCATAGCAATCTGTGCTGGGCTTGGCTCTGTTAATAATTGATCTTGTTCTCTCTAATTTTGCATCATCTGGTAAAGGTAACAGTTTCATTTGATCTATCAAATGGTTGTTGAAAATGGTTCTGGGTGTTCAAAATCCTCAAGGAACCGAATCACATACACACATTGTCAGTGACTGAACTGGTATTATTGATATCTTTCCGATCTTGCCAATCACTGCAGCTTCACTAAGAACCATATATATTATTCTGGCCTTACCCTCCATTCTGGATTTCTGACATGCAAATCTCAGTGCTCTCTCAAGTCTATTCTCAGTACCCAGAAGGAGCCGTCTTTCCTGTCTGTAAGGTTAGGAAATAATATCCCTTTATGACTTCTTCCCTTAGTCTTCTTTTTTTTTTTCTTTAAAGTCTGCTTCCCTTTCATTATCATCCTTCAGCCAGTGCTGCAGTGTAAGATACAAAATAATTATGCTCATTATCCAGATTGCTTTCATTCTTGTGGAAAAATTCTAATTAACATTTCTAAATCCTTTATCATTTGTCTGGGTCCACTACATTTGGCTTATGCATGCAAAAAATTTCCAATATTGTAATGTCTTCTAAAATTGAAAGTAGGTATGTGTCACTATTAAATATAAAAAAGGTTAAATTCAACATTTATACGAGATCAAAGTTAATGAACATTTTTAGAGCAATCTTCAAACTTGATTTACAATGTGGAGCACCTTTTGTTCATCTATTGCCTGTGAGACTAAGCAGTATGAAGAATATTTGCCTAATCAAAATTTACTGCATTCCCATAACACTCAACTCTGGTGTGGGGAGGGAAAGAGGTCTTTATCACAGCAGTATTCATTATATGTTACCCTTGAAAGCTAGAATATTATTTGAGAGCAACCACATCCTGTAACATGATTCAATTTTTCCCAGATACCAAGAAGAGCAATTGAATACATGTACAGGGTACCTAGCTCAAGGCATATGATTTGAAAATCAGAGTCAAGTATAGAGGGAGACATCTGTTTACCTTTTGAGATTTGGAAGCAATAAATGTAATGATTAAACATATTGTTGAATACATGATATTACTTTTAGATCATCATTCTCAGTTTAATTGGATCCAATGTTTGGAAACTCGTATGTCTAGAATTAAATGTGTTAAGACTCAAAAATGTCTTCCAATGGGCAGCTCTTGAGAGCAACCTAAAAACAAAAGCTGAAATTTATAAGGAAGGAGATTTCTGTTCAACATAAGAAACAATTTTACTCCACTTTATAAAGCCATATTTAGAATAAGACTAGTTATCAAAGACTGTGGCATATGGCAGATAGATGATTAGCCCAAATAAATTCCTACACAGGAGTATACAACCAAAGATTTCTACATTCTATTTACACATTTTGATCTTAATAGTTTTCTGACTCTTGACTAATTTCTTCCTCCTTCAGTTTATTTAGCGTTTAGGCATTCTGAGTAACTTGATTTCAATGATTCTGCATACTCAAGATTTCAATAAGACATGAATCTTAAAATTACATCATTTTAGGAGCATTCTTGTTGAAGGAAACTTGTTCTTTTTTTTTTAATCACTCAGGAAGAAGTCTGTAAAGGGTGCTGACATTTATAGTGAGCTGCTAATAGGGATTTTTCCTTCTGTCTACTGTAAGTGCACATTTGTTTTATAGTGAATAGAAGCTGAAAGACCAGTACCTAAATTTCTCCTGAATTGTTCTTATTTCACTGCAAATGGAGCTATATAGCTAAATGTAATGATTCTAATTAAAGATTATGTGATTTGAAAGAATATCTTTACATCTTAAAAATCTATATATGTTTATAAATTATATTTGATGGCACTATGATGCTTAATCAAATTTAATCTATAAATAGGGAATTTAATCACAGTATGATATTACTAATCAAAAGATAACTTTTCTAAATCATAGATTCATATTCAAACTTGAAAATAACCTTAGAATCTAATACAGTTTCCAACCTTGTATAGAAAGCCCCTCTAAATTCTAAAATACCCTTGACAGATGATTTTTTTTTCAAAATCTAATTCAGTTCTTTCAGGGTAAAGAGCTCACTACCTCCATTTTTGAACAGTTCTGTTAGAAAGTTCTTCCTACCATTGAAAGCAACTCTGCCTACCTGTAATAACTTTCAATCCCTGGTCCTAGGTTGCTGTCTCCAAGTATTGGAAACAGCATGTCTTCCATTCCTCTAAAATCAAGTCCTCACTTTCCTTCTTGTTCAAATGCTTAACACTTTAAAACTTGCCACAATGGCCAGGATTACATGCCTTCACCTTGTACAGTTGCCTCAGAGAATCTATCCTAGCTCTATTGCTTTTTTGGTGTGTTGAGCATAACCAGCATTGCAGAATCTCTTGATAATGCAATCATCTCATTCCCTTAACCAGTTCTCTAGCTCTTATAAATCCAATATCGGCTAGAGCCTTGCTGTATCTCTCTCCTTCTACCCCCTGTCAACATAATCACAAACATATACTTTCTGAGAGAGGAATTCTAAAGCCAAATTTTAGTGTCTTTTGATCATTTGTCATTGGATATGGTTTTCAGAATTTTAAAAGCGTTTCTAAAAGAGACCCTAAAAAGTATACAAAAAATAGAAACCAAAGCAGTCACATCCTTCGTAGTTAATGAAGGGACAATTTGCTCACAAATGAATAAAAACAATTTGCTCACAAATGAAAAAAACATTATGATAACAATCTAAGTTTGGAGATTCATCTGTGCTGATTGTTCAGTTGGATAGAGCATGATAATTCCATAAAACAATGCCATTATTAAATAACTCTATGGGTCAGTTAGCTTTATTCATCTCATTAACTTTGACAACACTCTCAGTCATATCTAACTAGCTCAACAAATTATGCTATTGGTTCCAAGGGTAACAAGGTTGCTGGAATAACTCCGAGTACATTCTCTGAGTATCACATTGTGGTGTAAATATTTCTTTACATGTCTGACTTCCTTACTTAATTGGAAACTCTTAGGAATAGGGACATATATTTATCATTTCTGGACCTAGCAATTAGCACAGTGCTTGCATATAATAAGGCATTTAATAAACTAACATTCTATTAAGC